CGGTTAGCGAGGCGGCTGGCTTGTCTATACGCGAGAAGACCTTGGCCAGAACTGGTCGACCATGTCACTGATATGTCTGTTGTTGCTATTCATTGCTCTCCTTTTTTCAGCCTTCTTCACAAAGAGCCACTTCCGGTTCCGATGCTGCATGTAAGATACACCTCGGTGGAATCATGCAGTATGCAGGAAGGCTCCCAGCCATGAAATACCGAATCCGCGGCTATGGGTTGGCGCTCGGCGATGCCAACCAACTTCACCGAACACGATGGGACATGGTTATTTCATTGATAGGCAGATAGGCTTGTCCGTTGATGCCCATCAACTTATCCACATCTAACCCCGGAACATTTTAGCTGATAGGTGACAGCCACATCAAAACCCCTGCATACTGTCCCTGCCCACGAAGTATTGCTTGGTATCAGATCCGCCTTGCTGAATGGAGCCAGAGGGCCGCCTCGGTCTGTCTAACCGTATTTCACATTCAGATAATCAAACATCCTAACACGAGCCACACACCATTGCCATGTTTTCCGCTAGTCTGCGGTTGTCTAGAATCAGAACACTACGATTTGAATACCGCTTTTTACCATTCTTAGCGTCTGCTGGTGGTCTGGGTGGCATGTACAGTCATTTGAGTCGGAGAATGATCTTCATTGGTACACCATGTGCGAGTCTGCAGTCAGAACCACTCGCTCGGGAGCCAATATATACACGCCGCTTAGTTGGCTCAACTAAGGTGTAATTCCTTCATGATTGCCTGCCAAGGTATGCTTCAGAAGTCCAATCACAGATTGGAACCTACCATGTACACGTGGCTTGGTTTCCTTCTGGATGATGAGGTTGCAGGGGCCCTAGATGAATGGATCACTGGATTTAAGACGTTTCATCAACGTTTCTGCGGGGAAGAAGAAGCTAATACCCTTGCTGCAGGGATGAAGTGACCTAGTCAAGCTTTCCTTCTTTGAATCTTCTGGACGCTTATTCCCTGGAAACCCGAAAGGATTTCAACGGCGGTGAGCAAAGTAGAATTAGACCAGACTAAACCTGGGGTTGTTGAGCTCGTGCTTTTAGGGTCCCAAGGTCCCTTGTCTCGACACATGGCATTGATCCAACCCATTCTAGATTTCCTCATTTGAATCGATCTTGCCCATGACGTAGGTCCACGAGGGACGCCTAGTCTCGCTCCCGTTTGCCGTGATGCAACGTGCCACTGTCGAGAGAAGAAATTAGGGGACCAATGCACTTATATTACCAAAGGATCTTGTGCGATAACCCAAATTTACAAGTTTCTGGGAGATTGTTGCGCGATGACCATCTAGCGGCTGAGGAAAGGCGGTATGGACAGAGACAGGAATAATGTACTTCGTAAACTTGCAATAGAACGAGAAGTGCCATTTCTGGTCTGAGAATGAGGTTGAGAGGACTACTTGACCACTCTTGGTTGACAGAAGTAAGATGAAATCTTCTTGACTGACTCGACCCGCCGTTTTCGTATTGTTTTCATGCGAGATACATCATGTATTCGAGGAATTCTTACTGAATATTCAAAACCAGATGGCCTTGTCAACCTACTAACCATGCTTAGCAACGGCTATGTTCGACATCTCGTGGTGCCACTGAATTGCCCAGCTTTCTGCGACAATTTCTTGAAAGACAGCAGTGACATAAGGTATAAAGCCAACAAAGTCTTCATTCTATTTACAAGTATCCAGACTCAAACTAGGCCTTGCTTTGTCTTCAGCTATTTCCTATGCGGGTGATTTGTGGAGTTTAACGTAGATCGAAAGATGCCTATTGTAAGGGACACCCAGTAGGTTAAATCCAGAAAACTTAGGATTCGCCGCTTCGGTGTTGTCCGTCAGCCCATTTGAGCCTTAATTACCGAACACATTGATCCGAGTGTAAATTCCAGCACGTCATGGGAACGCTCGTAAAGCGGAGAAAACACGGAAGCTGGGGTGCCATGCGGCAGCTGTCACATTGCTATGAGATTTGCTGGCTCGGTCGAATAGTCAGAAGATAGATATCTATTTGAAACCAAGAGCCTGCTGATATGAACTGAATTGGACCACGGAAGGTCACCTAAGAGGCTAAACGATCATCTATCCCATGCAAAGCCTTGGATAGACTCATGTCACCTCATGTCACCCATGCCGTCATCACACCACCCTCAAACCAGGTTGGGCAAACTCCAGCCAGGGCTGAGGAACTGGGCATTGGAGCATTTTACAGATGGATACCCACTCCTAATACGACTCTGGCCGGCTATTCCCCATCGCAGGGCTGCTTTTTTTGGTGGCGAGACACGCGCTTGGGCCTGTCTAATTGAAGGAGTGTCCACCACACAGATATTACAATCGTCTCGGGCGCATGGTAACATAAAATGATTATTCACCAGCGGCAAGCTAGCGATTTTCTAGGTATAGCCTGCTAAGCCGAGACTCCAATCAATTGCCTAGAATCCAATATGACAAGAACACCATCAGCCTGGTGAGACAGCTCCCCTTTTCCCTGGCCAGTCACGTCGCACATCTCGGCCTGCAACCTCTTAGAGTAATGGCCTTTTTCGCCCGAAGCCCACATCTGGGCATTAGCGTGGTTACGACTCAGTGACCTCTCTCTGGTGCCCTCAGGACCAAGATCTGGCCCTCAACACGGTCCCCGGACACCGGATGCTGGACCGCCGCGGCAGTGACAGTCCATCTGCAACCACATACCGTAGACTATTGTCGGCCGCCATCATACAATGAATGACCTTACACAGTTGGCAGGTTGCTTTGGCTGCCTCAATACCCCGTGCTTTATCTCGCATACGTTCCCCACAGTTGGGTTTGCAGGGGGCACGAACCAACAGTGTCCTTGCAGGATCTGCATTGTTAATAGGGTTTCCAGCGCGAACTTGAGCCATGAGTCGATCCCTAGACACGATTTCCGAATTGCGCTGGTTACATCACGCTAGAGCAATATGTACTATCACTAGGAGAACAATACACTGGTGGCGAAAAGGGCCCTCATAAGCCTGCCGGTTACTTGTTGATGACACCCAATGGGCCTAGCGAGGGGTTGGATATGTCGCTGTTCAGGAGACGAATATATCATTACGGACCGAATATAAAGTGATGCGACTTGCCCATTCTGGACCTTAACTCCGGACAGGTGTGCTTCAGTGACGCACCGATATGAAGGGAATGCGTCAGCAGTAGGCAGATCAGGTTCTTCCTCCTGGCGCAACCGAAGTGATGGCAGCCATAACAACACTTCTGCCAGTAAGCAGATGGTTTGTGACCCGGTTACGATGGCTTGTCTTACATAGCATCATGGGATCGAGAGTTGGTTTTGTTAAGGTAGCCATAGCGACTGACAGGCCCTGATTTGATACGATGGGTTGTGAACCAGTCGACTGGCCCTTGAACAAACGATAATATAGTATCCGCATATCCCAGAATAGAATGAATGTTCATTCGAAAGAGCCCTAAAGCAACTCGGGTGGCGCCTCTTCCATTGTAGAAGGAGGCGTTGTGGTTGAATGGCCACCAATGTCGGATACATCACAATCGTCTTTTTCAGTATATCCAGTACGCTAGACTTACTCTGTCAGTTCTTTGCTTTTATCAATATATGCTCTTGTTTAGCTGGAAGAACTTGTTATTCCTAATTTGTCTTCTCTGTTAAGCCCATAGCTCCGGCCACTGACTCGGAAGTTCATTATACTGGACGTTCTCGAGAGCACTTGCCATGGAAACCCGAAGTGTAAAATTAGCTTAATTTGACTCATAACACCTGGTAATCCAGCCTATCTTGGCTATTTCGCACAAACTTCTGCTCTAACCTTGCATGTGTGAAGGTGTAGGCGTTATGGTTAGGATGTTACCACCAGAATGAACAACAATACTACCTGCAGTAGAAAATATTCATGCAACATTCTTTTCACTTGTAAAAGATGATAACGAGCCCATCCGCCAATCCTAGCAACTTCGTAGCAAGAATGGCGGTCACAATTTGGCTAGCATACCATACTAGGTACAGGGTAAGTCCAGCTTCCAGGGTTGGTAACCTCTATACACAGCGGCTCATCACGGGCTCTGGTTCCTTATATCTCAAACCACTTGCGGAAACTTAGCGGAGACACTGTGTGGAAGACATCGTTTGTAGAAATTAAGTTTGGTGGCCTCTCAGGATCGAGTAAACCCTCTTGACTTATCGTTACGTTCTGGTGTAGTTAAAGCGCCTAGAAACAACTTCTTGCCCCTTAACCTTTACCACAAAGTTCTAATCCTCGAGGGACTCCCAAACATCAGTATCAGGCTAGATCAAGGGAACATCTCCGCTAGATTCGCGTTCCTCCACTGCGGGCTGATCCTCTGAATAGTGTAGGATCTCGATAAGTGAAGGAAGCAGACTTCACACCCCTGCTTCGTCCACTGTTAGTGCCAACGTCCCCCCGCCAATACAGTCATAATACACACACAGGATCAGCTGATGCTGCTTAGCCAGCGCTAATGCAATGCAGGTCACAAACCAACAGTGGCTTGAAAGGATCTTTGGAAACTGCAATGGGGGATGTGCAACCAGGGTATCCTGATCATCTAAATGATCCTCTCGCTGCGAGTGTGATTCGCGATGCATGAAAATCATCGACTGTGATGGGTAGCGTCCCACTTGATCCAAACATGAAAATCCTCCGACTGCAGCCCCTTTTCTACTATGCAACCTGGGCGGTCAAATGGATAGAGAACCAGACATGTTGGCGTGGGATTCTTCCTTACGCCCGATTTTGGCCAATTGAGAAAAAGAAACGAGAGCGATAACCCATGCACATTAATGGTGCCATATAGATTTAGGAGTATCTTATGCTACTTTTGAACGTAATGCTCTCTGCCTAATGAGATTGCTGCAGGTGAAGAAAGTTAATAGTTCACGATCGATGTAGATATTAATTGACGATATATATCCTTCGATGAAGCTTTAGCAGTGACTGCAAGAAAATATTTCATGATCTATCACGACTCACCTCTGAGGCTCATAGATAGCCATCGCAAAACCTATTACAAGGCAAACATACTTGGGTAGAATAACGACAGTTGCCAATCTTGTTCCTTACAGAACCCGTAATTTCGGCCCAGTGACGCCAATGTCCCACCGCACTTCCACGTAGTCGCTGCTCCAACGTATCCCACACCGATATATTGGTCGGCTGGGCACGGTATCTTGGGCCAACCTTGATATGACTGTACCCAAGTTGCATTGCTAGGCTTCGGAGCAAATTCGACCAGCATGATTGTCTCTGCTCTTGGCCGAGACCAGTTGAACAATGTCAGCGGCCGTGAGTTGCACAAGAGGTCTTGGAGGATCAGAATAAGTGAAAACATCTAGGGTTTGGGTTCCGGTTGAGACGTCTCGATCCCAGAGCTCGAACACGAGTTCGCAGGTTTTCCCTTGAGTGCTTTGGTCGAACTGGAACGTCACAATGGTTGTTATTTCATAGGCAGATTTCCCGTTTTTGACGATCAGGAGCTGGTCCTGAGGATCAATGACGGTCTTGCCCGTTTGAACCCGGTATCGATAAGTTGCGTAAGGGTAGATGAGATCATTGATTGCCTGAGTCTCCGGGGGGGGGAGAGCAATCGCAATCACGACGCAAGGAAGAGTACACAGGAACTTCATGCTAAATAACCAGGATATATGCTAACTAAGTATATATCCTACACCCGTATAGAAATTATTAGTAAGATTTAGGTACGAATCAAATGTGTGTTTTTTTTACGAAGCACTAATATAGACAGGGCAGTATAGGCAGCGTATCCAGATACAACTGCTTACCTGTAAGAAGATCGTTATCTACCTCACCCGCCTCGGCATCTGAATAGAGTTCACGATCATCCGCTCAGGGGTATCGTGCCTTGATCCTGTCATACTCGGCCTGCGTAAGTGGGAACACGGAGCCGTGCTTCACACCTCCAGGGAACCCGTTCGTATTCGAAGGCGTCCAGATACCAGGGTTTAAAATGTTGGTAGTCTGGTAGGGGAGATATTGGACGTAGTCATCGAGCCAGAGGTGATACAGGTTTGGGTCAAGGTTGTTTCGGAAGGCCACAGCGCCCTCACGAGGGGTCTCGTTACGAACGAACCCAGGGTTACGAGTCCAAGACCCGAAGAGCCCGCCCGTGGTCCTCTCCTGGAAGATCTGGTTCGTCCTCTCATCCTTGATGAAGCGAACGTAGTGTCCCGGCTGGCCCAGGTACAGGAACTCCTGGTCGATGACGGGGATGTTGGCCGGGGCGTAGTAGTCGAGGGGCGCGCTGAACGTGACGAAGTCTCGCGTGGTGGCATACCGGATGCGGTCGAGCCCGGCGGAGCCAGTGTGGTTGGGGTCGTTGGCGGCATATAGGCGCGAGGACCAGAAGACGTAGTACTGGCTCGTGGCGTCGTCCCAGACGGCGGAGGGTGCCCAGGCCATGCCTGCCGTCGTGCTCTCGACGGTGCGGAGGTTGGGGCCGGACCAGTTGACGAGGTCGGTGGAGCGCCAGACGACGAGGCCGCGGCTGCCGGTGCGGGTGGCGCGGTCCCAACTGAAGCCGGGGGCGTTGATGTCTAGATCTAAGTTGAGTTAGTACTGAATTCTAAGTCATGGACTTCGAAGGGGACACAATACCCGTGGCGATAATGTAGTACTCGGAACGGGCGCTGTTGCTGGTCAGGTAAATGTCTCGCACCGCCCGGGTGCCCACTATCGAGGTCAGCACGGGGTTGCCGCCGTTGAGCTTCCGGTAGCTCAGAGGGTTGTTGTCGTTAGAGAGATACTGCTGAACTTGCGGGACGGGGTCGGAGAAGGTCGATATAAGGTATCCGACGAACTGCTGCTGCTGCCGACGGACGGGGTTGGCCGTGACGGTGAAGCCCAAGACGGCCACCAGGAGGCCGATGAGCCACGAGTAACGCATGACCACAGAGGAGAAACTGGCTTTGCTGACTTTGGTGTGTGACTTTACTTCTCTGTTCCTCTCAAAGTCTATCTTTTCTCCGTTGCTATCTCAACTTGGCTTCCCTGTCTGGTGTAAGTCATGAGACCGTGGTCCTTTTATCCATTTCCAAATTAGCTCTCGACCACGGTAGCCGGAGGTCCTTACAACTACGGTTTAGGAACAATCTAGGTGAGGCCCTTCCCAGTCTCTCCTGACTGGAGCGCGTCTAACACAATTACTAGGATATGTTACCCACTCTTCGGACCTCCCCTCCCGTTGCATCGTTAAAGTAAGTCGGACAGACCAAGCGTCTCTATCTAATTAGGCTATTGCGTATATCCGATCCAGTTACGGAGAAGCTGGAATCCCTGCGAACTGTACCCCGCCTCGGTCTGCCACGACAACAAACTTAATCTGTAGATTTTACATTATCGGATTCAATGGCGCGACCACCGACACTTATTTCGCCCTACCATATACATGGGGGAGAAACTTTAGGACTAGGATTTGCTTCCGGGAATCAAGGGCCGGGTGCAGGAAGCCCCTTTCCTCTCTTCTCGCCTATCCCCCCCCAATTACACGCCCCGATCTCCCCGTTTACGCAGTTGTCCTTTGTCGGAAACACTGGATTAGGATGGCGTAATGAGAAAGGAACATTGCATCCGTCTCTTCTATGCCTCTCCTTGCCCCATGTCGTCAGGAATATAAAGGGCTTGGTTGACAGGATTGATGCCCGTCCGATCTAGCTCGTGGATCCCGGGTAGACATGTCTCCTCAGCTCTTCCTTGATCGAAGCTAGACATGCTCCGAGAGGGAGGGTTCTATTCGTTCGCTTCTAAGGTGCATTGTGGGGATTGGAGAATCCTAGAAGAGGATCTGCACGATAGAATCTATAAAGTAATACATACCACATACCCTCCCCAGTCGAGGCAGCGATAAGCTTGGCCGCTGTCTATATCATAGCCGCTCGACTCTATATAGACGGAGTACGACCTCACTTAAATACAATTTACCCTATCTACTATCCAGACAGTCCGGGGCTTTCCACTTCAATCAGGCCGGAGCGCTCTTCCGTGTATCCCTTTGACACATTTGCTTGCTCCCTAGTTGAAATGTTAGCTCCAGTATATTTATGATGATCGAAACTTTATGCATCAGGCAAATCGATGAGCTAGTCTAGACAATTCCTCATTAAACCAATCAATTGCTACTCAAGCAAAGCCTTCCAAAACGATCCACAACGACGAGCGGATCTCTCATCTATTGCCTTTTCACATGGGTTACATGTGTCTTCCCTGTCTTCGCGCCAGGTCGTTGGTACAGTCAGATCTAATTGAATGGTGTCTTGGGCTCCGCATAGTCGTCACCATCGGGAACAGTAAACAAGCAAAGTCCATGCCTAATGTCTTAGTAGGAGAGGCAGAGGCATAAACATTGAAACTTATATATACAACCATGTAGATGCAAGATGTTTCTTTTCCAGGATACCCTCTTACATCCCCTTCCCCGCCTCAGCCAACATCGACCCTGCTTCTCAGCATGCGACTAGTCAAGCTCCTCAGCGTCACGCTCAGCGTCCTCTCCCCCACTCCGGACCTCGCCCAGGCCACCACTTACTCCAACCCGCTTGAGAGGACTAATGGAGGTGACCCGAGCATCGTGTGGCACGGTGGCTGGTGGTATATGATGGCCACCACCTGGAACGACCTTCGTCTACGTCGCACCCGGACTCTTAACGGCCCCAAGAATAGCGAGTCCAAGCTCATCTACTCCAGCACCGACGCGGCTCGCTGCTGCTTAATAGCCAGGCCTACTTCGTCTACTCATGCTGGCGGTCCGACACGGGCACCAACCGTCGAGGTCTATACACAGCTAGAAGTTCATTAGGTAATATAGAGCAGTTTGGTCAGATCTCGCTTAAGAACCAAGACTCGAGCGTACGTGTTTGAAGAGTCCGGCCAACATCAGCTCGGGCATTAGAAGGGTACTCACTGTGGTATAGTTACCGACAAATCCGAGAAAGCGACACAGGCGGATTACAGACTGGGACCTCATGTCAGCAATGGACTCTCTTCCCCGCGTCTCATGCCAACGCAAAGCCTCCGACGAATATTTCTGGGATTGCAACCATGGTAGTTGTTAGGGGTCTCTCAGCGGAAGCAGGACGACTAAAAGACCATTACTATCGATTTGGTAAATACAAAATAGCGTCTTGTTCTACGGTCAAGTACTTGCCTTTTAGGGGTTGCTTTTCTCACCGGGAATTGTTAGGAGGGAAAGTCTCCGGTCTTGAGACCGCAGGATTTGTATCCACCTGCGGATGGTTACGAATATTGGCCGATTGGATATACCTGGTAGCGAGATTTTCCGATTTTAGGACCTACTTTATTTAAAATCTAGTATTCTCCACGGGACAAAGACCTCTTCTGATGCTCCCGTAGGCTTTTGTGTATCGCTGTTCATGTCATCAAAACCGTACACGATGTCAGCGCCAATCGAGAAAGCAGCCACTGATCTTAAAGTGGCTGTAGACATAGCAGAGACTTCTTCCGAAAGTATCGTTTCTGATCCCAAGGAGACTACCCGAGATGTGGCAGACTCATCATCGTCCGCCCAGCAGGAGGAGCAGAAAGCACCTTCGTTTGAGAAGGACTATAGATTTTGGATGATCATGCTCACGCTATGCTTTTCCATCATGCTTGCGTCGCTTGAAGGCACCATAGTGGTCACCTCACTCCCTTATATTGTTTCAGAGCTCAAGCTGGGGAGCAACTACATTTGGGTGACCAATGTGTTTCTCTTGACAAGGTAGGTGTTCTTTTGGTAATACCTGGGTATGTTCCTTGTGGGCATCGTTGACATAGCATTGCAGCGCGGCAGTACAGCCCCTATTCGGCCAATTCTGCGATCTTTTTGGGCGAAAGGCTGTTTTGATATCCGTTCTGGGCTTGTATGTTCTAGGGAGCGGTATTTGCGGAGGCGCGACAACAGAAGCCATGCTCATCGCTGGCCGTACTATCCAAGGCATTGGAAGTGGTGGGTTGAACATGTCTGTGAGTTGACGAAAGAAGCCTGGAATCTAGGGACAGCCATCAACTGACAATCGGCTGGCAGGGTGAAGTTATCATTTCAGACTTGGTGCCGCTGAGATACCGTGGAAAATATGTCGCGCTCTTGCTGGTAGTTTCGACAGTTGGCTACTCGATCGGCCCTTTCGTTGGTGGTGCCATTGTTGAGAATTCAACTTGGCGATGGGTAAGTTATCTGGAGTTGAATGGAGTTCGCATGTGGCTGATCTTTTATCTGGGCTAGGTCTTTTACCTTAACCTTCCTATTGGAGGTGTCGGTATGGTCTTTGCGTATCTTTTCCTCAATCTCCGGTACGACCGCGAGGAACGCATCTTGTCCAAACTGAAGCGAATCGACTACCTAGGCAATGCCATCCTCATGGCATCCTCGGTATCAGTCTTGATTGCTCTGACTTGGGCTGGCCCTATCTATGCCTGGTCTGATGCTCGGGTTCTCGTCCCGCTCTTGGTTGGGCTGGCAGGTCTCGTAGGCTTCTGTGTCTACGAGGGCTCAGGCATACCCGAGATGCCCGTCATCCCACTGCGTCTCTTTCCCAACCGAACATCAATAATTGTGTATGTGAACTCATTCTTGATGCCCATGCTTCAATTTTGGTGCTTCTTCTACTTCCCAGTCTACTTCCAGGCAGTTCAGCTATCTACGCCGTCCTGGTCTGGTGTTCAGATCCTTCCAATCACGCTTATAGCAGTCCCTGGTGCAGCAGTAGCCTCTCTACTCCTGGCCAAGTTCGGCAAGTTCAAGATACTGCACGTCTCAGGCATGCTGCTCACAACAGTTGGTGTTGGGCTTATCTCGCTTCTCAAGACGGACAGCAGCACAGGCATTTGGGTAGGAATCCAAATAATGCCTGCTGTGGGATCTGGGCTCCTCATTTCCACCCTGCTTCCCGCCTTCCAAGCGTCCCTGGCAGAGAAAGACCAAGCTGCGGCAACAGCAACATGGAGCTTTGTGAGGACATTTGGAATGGTATGGGGCATTGCCATCGCGGGGACGGTCCTAAACTCGTTCACTAAGCAGTATGCGTACATGGTGGATAATGAGGTAGTGCGTGAGCTACTTAGCAATGGAGATGCCTATGCCAGCGGCACTCAGCATTTCGTCATGCAGTTTCCCGAGCCGGTTCAAAGTCAGATCCGCGAAGTCTTTCTGCTAGCATTGCGAAAGGTTTTTATCATCTCCGTGGCATTTGGAGGAACTGGGTTCATGCTCGCTCTATTTGAGAAAGACGTTCCTTTGAGAAAGGGCCTCGACACGGAGTATGGCCTTGAGGAGAGGAAGAAGCCCACTGGGGAACAGGTTTAGAACGTGTTTGGATTACTGTTGCGCGACTGATACATTTAGATTGATAGAAACAACTATAGATATAGAACACTCTCCCACTGCTGGAGAAACATTTAACGGAGGATTTAATAAAGGAACTTTGGGTTGCGAACCTAGATCTACGAAGGCCCCACGAGGACACTTTTCTTTTGTCATAGAAATTTATTAGAAAATTTATCAGAAAAAGAAAATAGAGTACTCATTCAGCGAGACTCTTGCTTCAAAATGTTACTTGGATATTTATTGAACGGCTAGCATGTTTCGTGTGCCTCATCTCTCGTTTCTTCGGCAGTGATTGTGTAGATAATAAATATCGCCAACCATAACTTGCCTGAACCGGCGAACAGGAGTTGGCTAGTGTCCGCTTACTGCTTGAGGATTTATCGCCCTGAGAAATATTAGTAACTGTATTAGTTTGTTGTGCTGGGAGGGAAAAAAAGGGGGGTGATGCGGAGGACAAAGCCTCCGAAGCAGCCATCCATGTTTAATATCTGGAAACCACCCGATTGATCCATCGAATGGTAGCCCAGTCTTTGGAGACGGCCACGGAAGCACCGGAACGGCCCTGTCGATGAATATTACCCAGTAAACTTGCATCCGACAATTGATTCTACTGCTGCCTGATGAAAGCGCTGATAGTTGGCCTGGTTGCCCAAATACTACCCACATAACGGATGAACAATCCTGTGAAGACCAGCTAGATCAGCCACATCATGCCAAGTTCGCTGGCAAAAAGGAATATGTATCTACTTGCGCAATGAATTCTCTGTATCACGGTTAAAGTACCATGAGAGCTAGGCCTGTACTGGTAAGTCTGCAACGAGATGCTCACCGTGTAGGTTCAAAGGTATGGGAGAGCCACTGCACACTACGTCGTAGACAGACAATCCATAGAGTCATGAAAAAATGCGTATGAACAAATTGTGAGAAATACATTATCTATTGAGTAGACAGATGCTTGTTCACCCCGTAATGAGCTTTCCAAAATGCCGACATCTGGTCAAAACGTGACCCAAACACCTCGACCCTCGGCTCGAAATCCCAAATCTTGATACTATGTCTCGTAGAACTCAGCGCGGGCCAAGTACTAGAATCCATGTCGGCCACGTTGGGATTCCCCGACGTCATGAATCGTACCCAAGTCTCTGAAATATCTTTAGAGAGGGCTCTGTCCGCGTCGGTCCAGTCCCAGTCCTTCCAGTTGTCGAGATTCCCGAATGCGTACGGGACACCGGCACAGTGAAATACTCCAGCAGAATCCCCTTCGGCTGTCTCACGGGCAATTGGAGGTGCCCGCGCAAACCTATAGTACCACACAGGAGAGCTCATTTTGATGGCCTGCAACTCCGCCGAGATCCATGTTGGCCAGACAAAAACCTGGTCACCAAGGAGGTTCAAGCATGCAGAGCGCACCTCTGAGTCGGCTGCGGCGGAATATAGGCGGAGGAACTCTTCTTCTTGCTCACCGAACGTCTCTTTCGCATAGGCACGATACTCGGCGAGCGAATCCAAATGTGGCAAACTAGTTGCTTCGTCGACAGAATTTCCTGCCAGAAAGGGGACATCGGCCATCCTCCCGGATAGAAGCGTCGCCAGAGGTGACTCGGGCAAGACATAGCCATCAACAATGGGATTGGCGGTGTCGAACAGACTGAGGCTTGTAGATGCATGCCACATATCTGATTTCCATTGTCCCTTTGCCCGGGGCAAATACGTAGCCATGATAGTCTTAGCGTCTATCTTGCGAAGCTCTGCGATGGACGATGCCCCTACGGCGGCTAGCAATTCAACGCCTGCCTTTTCTCCCGAGGCCAGTGTCGTATAAGCTGCGAGATGGCCATGACCATCAAGGGCTGGAGCCACACCTGGTCCGCTCTCGCAAATGGCCTTTGAGAATAACCCTTTTGCTAGCGGGGAGGAGCGTAATATGTGAACACTTGCGCCTCCCGCAGAAGCACCTCCTATAGTGACATTATCAGGGTCACCCCCAAACGCTTTGATGTTCTTTTGCACCCATTCTAAAGCCGCGATTTGGTCCATGATGCCGTAGTTGCCGGAAGTCTTATGACTGGACTCATCGCTCAACTCGGGATGCGCGAGAAAGCCGAGGCGCCCCAGGCGATAGTTGACAGTCACAACAGTCAGTCCTTCTGTTGCAAGGTTCGTCCCGTCATAGAGGGAGTTAGAGCTAGACCCAAAGATGAATGCTCCAAAGTGGAACCAGACCAATACAGGTCGGTTATCACCGCCTGAACCCGTGTAGATGTTCAGGTAGAGACAGTCCTCACTAAACTCAGACTCCCCTCCGTGGTAGATGGAGTTTTCTGGTAGGGGGAACTGAAGGCTGCTGGGGCCGAACTTGACAGCTGGTCGCACGTTCTCCCATGATTCAGGGCGCTGTGGTGGCCGCCAACGCAAATCTCCGACTGGGGGAGCTGCATAAGGTATGCCAAGAAAGGCCCTGGTATTGTTTGGGG